TTGTTTTTGCAATTCCATTCATGGATTAGCAGTAATTAAATTTCATTCCGTTTATAGCTAACTGATAACTAGTTATCCCAATATTGATGAGAATATTCAGTGATTATTTTGCCTGACTGATTCTAATTCCTATATTCACCAAGCAGATCAGTGAATCATCCATATGGAGATATATTATTCTGGAAATTTACCACTGGAATTGGAATGAAGGATTAGATGTATTTAACACTGAGCCATTTAATAATATTATTAACAATCTGGTAAAGAGCAAGTTAGGTTGAAATATTACATGTGTCTGTCACCTTTCCTGAATACAGAAGGTTTCATTTCTTTATTGCATTGTTGGTGACTTGAACCCTTGATTTCCTTTAGATAATTTCTGTTATTTAACAGTTTGATTTTAAATTTTAATTTTATTTTTATCTTAAGAGCCCTATTTTTTTCATGCATGATTTTACCTAAATATCATGAAATGAGACATTTCTTCTTCAAAATATCCATGATATTTCTTTAGCTGCGGTTCCTACGCAATTATATTTGGAAGTCTCAAGCTGCATTAGAGTTCCGCTGTCCTGGCTTATGAGCGTCATTAAGTTCTGTAAAGAAGTCTTCTTTCTTGCTAATCACCAAAATCAATAAAAAAATACTAATTCGTTATTTAAGTGCAATGTAGTTTACAAGTCGTGTACCCTAACATTTAATATCTAATCTAATGGCGTTCTCACATCCATTCTCTACAGAATCTGATGTTGTTCTAACATGCGTTCTTTTGTAATGTATAATCCTTCTCTATAATCCTAAAATGTGACTAAACATATCTAATTCAAATAAACTAATAACTACTATTTACAATTTAACTACTTCTTGAATGTTCATGATAATGTCTCAGATGTACATTTGTACTACATAATTGCGTATCATGCTTTCTAAATATCCTACTGCATTATTGATATCTTATAAATTTTATTACAAAATCATGATGTCTAACTTTGTTCTAAGCACATGTTCACTATGACATTGAAGCCTTAGGATTTCATAATCTTAATATTGTTCTCTAAAATTGTACAGTGCAGAGTCTAATTTCAAGTTCTTGCATATGTTCTGCACAGAATCAGATGTTGTTCTGACATGTGCTCTCTTTGAAATCTAATGTTTTGATCTAAAATTTACACCAATTTACCAATCAACTTTGATTTCTTCTGATATCAATACTAACTAAATTTGTCATTGAATGCTTACAGCCTCTTGACAGTCACTTTTCCCCTTTTTGTTCCATACTTGATACTAACACATTATATGAATGGCTAGAACTTTTTTCTTCAGAACACTATTCTTTATAAAATATTACAATTTTATTTCCTACATTATGGTTTGTGAGACTGCTTTTAACCATCAATTCTAGGGCCTAATCTCTGGATTATAAGGTTCCTTTTACCCTCAATCATAAATGAGTTCATAAATATACTTACCAGCATTTACGTCGGACCGTAATAATGTACACCATATTGTCTGTTTAAAAATTGAAATATTTCCTCTCACTTTCAATTCCAATCCCAAATATTGATGGGGAGATTTTGTGTAAAGATTACCAACTTCAAAATATTTTTAAAATATATGGTATATCTCAGTAAATTTTTATTTTTCATTATATTACATAATATTTAATAATATATTATAAATAAATATACATAACTAATGTATGTTAGTGTTGTTTTTAGTATTTTTTACAGTAGAATAAATTAAGTTCTTTCTTATATTGTTGCATGCCTTTTAAATAAAATTGTTTATTAGCAACTGTCTGCTTATTTGTTTATTTGTTTTTCTAATCTTTCCTATCATTAATTCTGTACTAGTGCTTTAAAAAAATCTCCTTATTTTGTTTTGTTTATTACTATTTACTTACAGGTTTGTTCTGTTTATATTTATTGTACTATTTATTTCCAGGTGTCAGAGTTTTTGGAAGATGAAGTGCATCCAATATTAAAAAAGTATGAAGGAAAAATCGAGAAGACGTCTGTTATAAATATATAAAACAGAAATATTCAATTCGTTGCATTAAATTGTATTGATGTACATCAAATCATAAATATGAAACATGAAGTTAACTTGCCTGTTTCTTTGTAATGAGCTCCTGTTCTTGTATATCTTGCCAAATCTATAACTTTCGGAAAAATACCAGTTGAGTTAGTAAGTTGTACTCAATATACAGGAAGACTTTAAACTATATTCTCCCTGTTATATGCACTCTAATGCACCCATTATGTTCTTTCTCTTAAAGAGTTGTGAAATGTATTTTTTTTTTTTAATTCTTCCTTACAAAATATAATACTAGATTAGACATAAGAATTTCTGTTATTGCGACACAACAGTATCCTGTACATTAAATCACAAGATTCATTTTGCACATGTCATCATATTTCAGTTTTGGATAATCTTATCCCATACTGAATGATATTTCTGCAAATCCATATCTCCCAACTTCCCTTAATAAATTTTCAAGTTTTGAAAATGTATGAAACCATAAATTTCAAATTTTCAAAAATATTTACAAATCTCCTGAATTTCAAGTACAAACTGCATAGTACCTAAATATATATAGTTAACATATGTATTTAAATTCAGATGCATTTGACTTGAGCAAAAATATTGTTTGCTCATTTTGGGTACCTAATTCCATCATGTTCAGGTAATATGTTAATACTTTCAGTCCAGAATCCTGGACATTTTAGCCAATTTTTGAAGATTTTTTTAGAGGTAGGTGAATGAAATTCATGGCAAATAAAACTTGGAAACTTTCTTAACCAGAGAAAAAATATTTTCCCTCTGTTAATTTGAAAACAACCCTTTTTTTATCCACAAATTTTGTATATATTGAAACACAATTTATACAGTTTGCTTCGGTGTGGTAGACATAAAAAACATGAATAGCCTGACACTGTTTTTTCCTGTAAATGAAGACTGTGCTCTGCTCATTGTAGGTGACAAAAAGTGGTAAATGTGGTACCCAAAGTATTCAAGGCTCTGTCTACTAGAATTAAAGTGGTAGCCCAAGCCACTTTCTGGCACAGAATTGAAAATGTTAAGCATCATTTACCTATCAGGTTCCCTGTACTTGAAACACTAAACTTGATTCTATTTTGAACTGCATATCATGTTTTCTTTCATGATCACCACATCACAGTATCTTAAGCAGTTCAAACGATATTTGAAAGGAACCTATTTGATTGTAGCTCTGATAAATTGAAATATTTTCATGAAAATCACACTTGAGCTGTGCAGGATTTGGATTTAGTCAGTTTTAGAAGTCATGCCACATAGACAACAGTGTGCTCAGATAGAAGAGATGGGGACACAAGGTAGGTGTGAAAGTGCTATAGCGTAAATGTGTTGCAATGATACATACTTTCTTTTCACCTAAAACCTCTTTCATTTTTGCATCAAGAATAGTTCTTATGTTTAATTGCAGTTTTCTTGCAGTAATTAACACCAGCCATCATTAAATTCTGTTCAGAAGGTCGATTTTATAAAAATATTATAAGTTGTTGTGTTTCAGAAAAAATTGAGTGTGAACATTAGTTTCATATTAAGATTCGATTAAGTTTCATGTATAGTTTAGTTTTGTATACAGTTTGGATTCCAATTAAACTTGAGCTAGTTGAAAACAGAATGTAAAGATAAAAGAAAAGTTAACCAATAGGGAGATCAGGACAAAATATGTCAATACAGAGAGATCTTTAAATTAATAATATTTGTGTGTAATATCAAAACAAATCACGAAACTATTTTTTATGCAAATATTTTTACCATTTGTTGCACTTTCTGAATGAATATTACTGAAAACCTGTGTAAGATACTGAAAAAACCTCTGTAGAAAAATGAAAATAGACTGTATTATTTATCTTCAAAATATATATTCTTACTGCAAATACTGTGTATTTCTTGTTATCAACCTATTTACGCAATTATATACAGCCAGACATGATATTTTAACCCATACAATAATGTTAGTAATAATAATAATAATAATAATAATAATAATAATAATAATGTTAGTACAATAATGTTAGTAATCCAAATTTCATTAATTAACTTTGGTAGGTATTCCACGATGTAACACATGTTTTGAGATTTTTGGTTGGTACATAGCTTCTAAGTACCCATTTACCTAAACTAATCAATCATTAAAAATCACTTAATTATTAAAAATGCACTTTAGTTTTCAATATAATCAAATTTTAAATTTACTTTCTCACCAAGGTAGAAATTGTGGAATAAAAAAATATATAACTGTTAACATAGTTTTCCTCAGATTTCATACAGAGCCATCCATAAATTCTGTAACACAGATTTAGAGTATTTTGAATACTCCCTATCGCCCTTGTAACACACCCATAATGCATGCTTGAACACCCCTAAATAATTATGTATTGCTTGCTATAACTCCCCCTCTTCCTTGTTAATGCAAGAAGTGTAGCACAGTGAAAAAAATTGTGTTCTTGGTTGTGTTGTATTGAGTATTAAAATTTATGATAATTAAAGTTGAAATTAGTTGTTGATGCTGACTGCACCAGAAAGATTGGGGGTACGTTTTGAGTGAAGGAAGGACGCCTTCCCAACCCAAACCCCCTTTCTTCCTCTCTTTAGTGTTTTGTTATTTATGGACGACACCTAATGATTTGCCGCTTGAGTAAGTTTCTTTCCCCTATTATGCATTAAAAGTTATAGAAAATGAATTGTTTTTCAAATAATGATACTCATTTAGAATTGAATTATCAATAAAAATTATAAATGACAATACTTTAAACATGTTGTACATTCAACATTTCATGAATTCATGGGCTTCTCTGGCATTTACAATGTTGATTTTTTTAATGCTCTTGTGAAATTTTAGTTTAAGCCATAATTATTTTCTTCGATTTAATGATTCTATAAAGTGCAAACACCAGATTTTGAAAGGTCAAATTATGTTGAAGCTATTGACATTTTCAAAAATATACTTTGATTAAGGAAACTTCATCATAAAACTAGTGGTGCTAAGACGGCACGTACTTTCTCGCACGTATTTTCACGCAAAATTACGCAAATATTACTTGAATTCGTGGTGCCCTCCATCGATTTCGAAAAATTGCACATGACCTTAGTTCAAAAAAAGATTTCATGAAGGGAAAGAATCTCTATCGTCGTTTAAGCTCCCGATTGGTTGAAACCGTCAGCTGATTTTTATTTATACATGCGTATAAATAAACCTAAGTATAGCCCCTAAACCATTTCATATTCAACTCCGACTTAAACGGCTGATTATCAGTACAGCACTGATACTGATTTATCTCGTTTGTACATAATTTTTAATCCACTTGAACTGATATTACATTGTGACATCCTAGAGTCCTTTTTAGTGGAAAAAGACGTATTTCATGTCTGTTATTCGCGAATACCTGGCAAACAAAGCTTGTGACGGAAATGTTCTTTTCAGCAATGTATTCGCCATTACATTTCGTACTAGGAAGAAGAATCTAGCACATGTTGGAAAATACGAAGGCAGACGTTCAATTTTGACATTGTTAATGACAAAAGAAATGGGAGGGTAAGGCCATATCCCTAAAACAATGGAAAATATTTCATTTAAGGAGGTACTGACTAGTTTAAACATTTAATATAGATTTAGAAAATGTCATAATTTGCCTTATTCAGACGATAACTGTACACTCTATAAGAGTTTATTCGAATCTCAAGTTTTCACAGAGTTCGAATATCAAGTTCATATTTGTCTTTCTCAACCACCTAAACCGTTGATCTACAACGCTGAGACACACTGTTGATTATCAATGCATCAGACCGTATATTTAATTCATTTGAACTGGTAATACATGGCGACGTCCTAGAATGCATTTTAGTGGATTAGATTAGATTTATTTAGTCAAAAAACAGTAAAAACTGTTTGTGACATACGAGGTTAAAGTTCATCTGCGCAAGTTTTTCAAAAATAAATAAAATTAGAAAAGTGCGATATTTGCAACATTTGAAAAACTAGACATTTTCGTTTCCGAGTTATAGAAAACTTATTTGCAACGGTAAACGAACTGCAGATTTGATTTTTTTTGCATTGCTAACAAAATAGTAACTCACCCTTACCTCTGTACTCCTCCAAGAGACCTTGTAGGTCTCCTACAAGAAGAAGGAGAGTTCAACAAAACGTGCGCATAGTGAAGCTACATTTACGACCAGAAGCTAAACAAGGGGCCATTCAGCATTTGCTCAATGTATCAGGGAAACCGGACAAAAACCTGATGAAGATGAGGGTGGAAACTACATTTTCCAGGTAAGTTATTCGCGAATATCTGACAAATCAAACATCTCATGGAAGTTTGCTTTTCAGCAGTGTATTCGCCATTAAGTTTCGTGCTAGGACAGTGGATTTCAGAAAAAACTGGCACATGTCAAAAATCGCCATCAAGTCTTTGAATTTTGACATTTTGAATGCCATAAAAGAATTGGCAGAAAATGCCTATATCTCTAAATCTATGGAAAATATTTCATTTCTGGATAATCAAACTAGTTTCGAAATTTAATATAGATTAAGTGCCAAATTTTGTAGCATTCTTCCGATAACTGTGTCTTGTAGAAAAGATTATCCGAAAATGCCCGTATCTCTAAAACTATGGGAATCATTCCATTTCTGGAGGAACAGACTAGTTTAAATAATTAATAAAGTTTTCGAACTTTTTATTATTTGCCACATTCGCATCATAACTGCACCATCTAGAAGCGTTATTCGTGTTAGGGCACTGGTTTTAAAAAACATTCGGCACATGTTCAAATCGCAAATTTCAACAGATGGGAAGTGTTAAAATATTTATTTTAGGTCGTTTTTCATCTACATGGTCATTAGAGATATTTCAATTATGGAGGCACATATAATCTTAAAATTAATTAACACATATTAATGTGCTAATTACACTCTTCATTATGATGCAAAGTTAATTTCGGTATATTTTTTTAATTATATAAATGTAATTTATTTGAAATATCTCTCACGCAGATAATATGCACATTTTCATCAATTTGTGAACACTATTGTATTTGTGAGTTAAAGTACTTAAAATGACTATTAATGAAGTTTTTCGAAATCTCAAAACTTTTCTGTGTAAAAGAGCTTTAAATTTCGAATTTACAGTAGCGCTTAAACTCCAGTTTTTTAAAAACGGCACCAAATTTTTCAAAGAAAATTGCCATTTAGGACGAGGTTTTACTGTTCTTTAATAATATTAAAATAATATATGTAAATATGGGGATCAGCTTTTCGGTCGTTTCTATTCGTAAGACAAAGTTAACTTTGTTAACAATTGTTAAGCCTTGAATTATGAATTAGAATGATGATGAGAGATTATCGTGGTCTTTTTGAACCATCCTAGCATTCAGCCGTATGACAGAAGGAAACCACGAAAATTTCATTTAGGATTGACGGCCCGGGGATTGAACCTGGGCCTTCCGACTGTGAGGTCAGCGCGCTACGGATCGATCCACTTCGGTTTATTATTATTATTATTATTATTATTATTATTATTATTATTAGTAGTAGTAGTAGTAGTAGTAGTAGACCCCTCGCCGCCCCTTCTTTCGCGAGGCCTCACAAGGTCTGATGAGTCGCGCTCGTAGCTCTTTAGAAACCCGCCAAGTACGGTTTGAGGCGAAGAGAGACCGACTGTATATTTAATTTCCGATAGCACTGAGTCCCCGCTGCCTGACGTCGCGCCCTCCCGTCGCCTCCCTCACCCTCCACCGCCGTCCTAGCACCCTCCGCCGCGCCACCCCGAGTCGCCCTTCGACAAAGCTCTGCCGCTCCCTCCAACCCTCCGTTTGGAAGGAACTCCTCGGCCAGCGTTCCCCAACTGTGTTCCGAACAACTGATATTACATAAAATCGTCGAGAGGTAAAAAACAAAAGAAATCAAAATGAAAACTGATGTTAAAATAAAGCCACACCAATGCTTTCAAATTAGCACCTACTGACACTTATGTTTTGCTGTTCATGTTTAAACCAAAATGCCTCATGCCATTTGGTTTATTTACAGATTCGGATTCTATGCTAACCTTTTTCTGATAAGAATATCGACTAGAGTTAGTATGCACCCACAGCCAAATAACCCTTTTATTATTTATTAACTATTTTATTGATGCAAACTCATCTTGCCGTTAGCTGTATGTTCCAGCAGTTTTACTGAAATTCATAGAAATAAAAATTAAATCAATTTAAGCATTCAATTATTTTTACAATGTCTGTATTATTATTTATTATTAAAAAATGTACTTTAAAACGGTCAATTAACGCATGTATTCTATTAATATTTTCAATTTTGGTGACAGTGGGTAGCAAAATGTAAGTAATTGAAATGCCGTTGGCTTTGCCATTGGTGTGTCCCAAAACGTATATGGCAAGGAGGGTACGAGTACGCAGGGATTTGTCCCTGATGGCAGCAGTGGAAGCAGAAGGTGAGGCAGATTCAAAACGTGTGCAGTCACCCCTCTCTCTAGCGACCGTCGTTACTATTTTCATCCTCTTTTTTCTTTATCACGTAAGATATTATTCGTAATGTTAGCTTGTAACTTTTTTATGTGAAGACATCTATTTTTTATAAATAAAGAAGTAATACTAGGCACCTGACGAAATGTTAAGGTCATTCCCTTCCGAACTACATGGTCGAGTTAGACTTTACGTGTAATGATTTTGTAATGCTATGTATGAGCCGTTTTCAGAGAACAATACACAGACGTGATATGCTCGCTCTATAGTTTGAAAGAAGTCATTTGAGTACAGGATTGCAATCGAAGAAAAAATATTTCCGAGTTAGATGTACCGAGCTACACAGCCTGATGTTATCAGTGAGGATTACTATTCTCCCTGCACTAGTAACTTTCAACACTTTC